TCAATTCGTAATCGCCGACGTATTATCCATCTCCGGGTCCTCCGGGGGTAGTTCCCCAGACCCGTGAAAAATCTCCCACGAGGTGGAGGTAGATCCTCGAGATGGTTAGCCGAACTCCGTCACCCCGATCGGGGGATGATTTCTCCCGCGGCCCGATGTCTTGCGCCTCCACCCGAGGATCGGTCGAATCGTCGCACTTTCGAATCGCAGCGATTTGCGAGTCTGGCGAGAGAATGGCGAGGGGTGGCGCGAGAGTCACACGTCTTGCGGCGATCGCTCTCGCGGGGGGTGTCCATCGGGCACCCAGGGATACCCGGGGTGCACCTGTTAGGTACCTTTCGCTTTCGGCGAGAAGACTCGAGGACGCGTCGCGGCCGACGCGATACCGCGGCCCGGCTGCGGACCCAGACGGAGAGGCGCGCACGGCTCCCGCTGCTCTATCGACGCGAGCGCCGTGCGACTCCACGCCAAACCAACCACCTTCCACCTTCCACCTACCCCCGGCGAAGAGAGAGAGAGAAAGAGAGAGGTCGAGCATCCGCGACTTCCCCCTCGTGGAGAGAGCGCATGGGGGTGGCCCTCCGTCGCGCGTTTTCCGTCATCAGCGTTTTCGGTACCCTCCACCCTGACGATAAGGAAAAAAGTTAGCTGTCCAAAACAAATATACATTGTCTACATATATATCGTTGCTCGAATCGTATATAATTGCAGGAAACAATTATTTTGCAGAGAAAAAAAAATTCATTGGGCGCGTTTGATCGCAGGATTTTGTAGTGGCAATGTATGTTTCTTCGTGTCAGCCAAATTTTTTTTTCTGAGGATAGGCACCTCGAGTAATGACGAAGAATGGATTCTGGAATAATAGAGGATCGTGGTTTTGAAAATCAAGCCGCGATCGGGAATGGGGTGCTGTATCCGACTTTAGGCGAAATTGCAGGAGAGAGAGACAGAGTGCACACAAGTGCGTGCTATCGCTCGAGTCGGAGGAGATTTAGATTTTAGGAAGGGTTTCCCGTTCTTTGGAATTTAGATGCTCGATCATGCAGTCGCGTGACGAGGAAACGGAAGCTCGTCTCTTCTCGTGACGAGTTTTCGATGGTGCCCTCGGTAGCTAAGATACGTTTCTTTCGGAGCGCTCGGTCGATATCTCGGCGAGTGCAGTGCTCTTCTTATCGAGGAACTCCGGGCTCGATATCGTTGCTTTCGAGGTATTCCTCGGGTTACCACGTGCCGGCATGAAGGTCGATAAGACGTATCACGAGCTACTCTTATCGCCTGCTGTTTTACCGACTCGCGCGGAGTCGTTCCCAGTTTCTCTGTGGACGGCACCACTGGTCCGAATTATGCTGCGAATTATCCGCGAACCTGGCGGAAGCGTAACATTTTCCAAAACTGGGGCAAACTGCAGTCGGCTTAACTAAGTAAAATCTCAAGGAGTCATTACCGGAGCCTTTGTCTGGATTTTTTTTTGTGGTTTCAGTCACCACGGATTTTTATCGGCCTCATTGGGTGGTGCGACAACGTTGACATTAATTCACCGTACAGTGGTCACCTCCCTATAGCGTTTTCCCGAGCAACGCGAATATTACCCGTGACGGTGGTCGCGGAATTAACGTCGCGGAGTCACGCACCCGGCGACACCATTTATTCCCACGATTAAAATAATTTATCAGAGGACGCGTCGCCGCGCCGGACGAATTCACCGTCGAATTACCCTGAAAGCGCATACTCGGGCGCGGCGCGTTTTCAAGGTTCTCCTCGGATGAAATTCATGCTAGATTTACAAGGGTGCCCCGTCGACGACCTTTTCGCCTAGACGGGTTAGGGGTATGAATATGTATGTCTAGTAAACGGTGACGAATAAATCAGAATAAGCCGTTCCAGTTCCGAGGACGAGATATCCTCTGCAAAGGCTGCGACGTCGTCCGGGGGCAACTCCTTGTCTCCGTTTCTTGCCTCTTTCACGTCCCTCTTCCTTTTCCCCTTTTGCTCGTACTTTCCTCCGGCAATACCTTTCGGTAAACCTCCTGCATCCACGCGACAAACGGATCGGTGCTCAGCCCATAGGAACAGCATCCCCGCGACGTCATCGATCGTGCCGTAAAGTTCGAATCACCTGTCCGTTACAGGGTCGGCGCGATGAACAATTTGTAACTTCGGTCGGCGTAATCAGCGAAGGACCGTTTGTAGGTCCGTCGGGCGAACGGCTTTGGCCGAAAACGGGATCGCGCAGGAACGACCAGACGGATGTTATATGGGTCGCAAACGTTATTCCGCGCAACGCGTTACGGCAACAAAGGGGAGATTACGTACGCAGGTACGTATGTACGTGCCAATGCACGGCGCGCGGTATTACGAAACAAGGTAACAGGTGCATGGATTGCTCGCGCAGTTGCGGTCGTTACGGCAATTACGTAAAACTGCGAACCGCGTGCGCCGCCCCCCTGGCGAGGACCTCAAAGCGTCGAATTCCCTTTCCAGCGTTGCGGCACGGCGACGGCGATCGCGAGACTCGGAGGCTTTGACCCGATAATGGAAATCGATCCGCGGATTAGCCGAAGGTGATAAATTCAGGGAAACGAGCGCTTCCTCTCGAGGCGGCCGACGTGCGCCTGGAGTACCGAGATGCAGAGAGCGAGCAGCCACTCGGTACACCGCGTAATTACCCCGGCGCACCAAAGGTCGTCAGCGATGCTCGCGTCGCCGTCCATCCGGTACAGCGGATATGCAATTCCGACATTCCTCAGATATTAATCCTTAACGTGGCCCGCGGGAGTCGTCAGCCCCGGGGCGACGTGCCCGGTGAACCCGGCCCAACGTGTGCCCCGACCCTGTCGCCGATTTACCTATACCGATCGATATTTATTAATTTTTAGTAAAATTCGTAAAATCGAGAACGGTACCACGTTCGACGCGATGTCGTGCGAGGACGTCGTTTCGTCCCGAAGGAAAGTGGTACGGCTCGGAATGACGTTTGGGAAATCGTAAAGCACGGGTCGCAAGGGTAGGGTCATAAGTTTATAGTCGTCGCGTTATCGGTACAACTACCACGGCGGTAATGCCAACCACCGAGACCCGGGTAGGAGGAATAATCAGATGGCTCACTGGGCCGAGCGAAATAAGGTACGTAGGTTTCTTCGACCGTAAAGTGGCGAAACCGACGTGCCCGCGATCGTGGAAGTAGGTTAGCTAAAATCTGGCCATCGATAATCGGCTCGCCGTACCCACCCACTGCACCCATTTGCGTGGCCTAAAATTGCGCACCGATTTCCCGATCCCTTTAATACCCTTGTCAATTGCGGATTAAACAACGACGACGCGGCTCGACGTCGATGTAGCTAAACCTCGTAATTAAAGGCAAACGGATATTTGTTCATGCTTTACCATGCTTAGCCATGCACGGCCGTACATCGTTTGTGACGCGCCCGCAATTAGGGAAGATGGGAGATTTCGCGTTAACTCAGGGTGCACAGGGGCGAGGGCGAGATCGCGTCGAATAATCGAGATGGCGGCGGCTCCAAGGGGAGGCGACGCAACCTCGGAAAACCGGTAGACATTAATGTCCGAAGGAGCGGTAAACGCTTACATTCGGAATAGCTCATTTTCCGGCGAGTAGTCCCCCATGTTTTAAACGAGTTCCCCAACTCATCTTGAAACTATCTCCAACTTTTCAGGAGCCGGCGAGAGTTCAACCATTGCGACGGCACGATGTCGATTTTTCATTTTATTAGCCTCCTTCCCGACGATCCGTTTCCCCAAATGGGTCTCGGATGGAAGTATTCCCCGGCGGCGGGTTTCGCGCTAATTTCAAGTTTGTTGCAGAAATTGGCAAGTTCGGCGCTCGTGGGATCGATCGCGAGATCTATAACAAGGCACGGAAGTCGGGACACTTCCGGGTCTTCGTTGGAATTCAGGTCGGAGTTCCCTCGGCATGGGGTGGCATCTCATTGCCCCCTTCGACGGACGCGTCTGGACCTTGCCCCGGAAACCAACACGATTTCGGAATATCTATTATGGGATGTGCGGAGCCCTTTGTGCCCGGAGTTCCCATCAAATTTGAGTTAATTCCCCGCCTCTGAATAGGCGCCCATTGCTGGACCACGTTTGCCATCGGGTCGAGTTGCATGCGCGGAGATGAAGAGAATTAAGGGACAATTCGCAAAGTTTCAAAATGGACCGAGCCCATGACCCCGTGGGTCCGATTAGAATATTTGAAAATGTGAGCGTGGGTGCTCTTGAAAATTCTACGAGAAGGGTTAAGGCTGCGACGTGTCGAAAAAAAAAAATATATAACGACCGTTTTTCCGGACTTCGCTGCTAAGTCGAAGCTCTTCGCACCTGCAAGGTAATCCCAGCGGGCGGAAACTAATCCCGATACGACGGAAGGGACGACCCCGGAATCCTTGGCTTAATAAAGTCCGTCGCGAGCTTTCGGCCTGACGTACCTTGAATAATTCATGAGCAACGATTCCGAGGCGTGCCAGATTCGCCGCGCAAAAAAAAAATACTTTTCCTTACGTTCCACGACCGCTATTCCGTGCCCGACAAGAGTCTCGATTCCGTCTCCTCTCGCCGTTGCCAAAGGTGTACAAATATCAAAATTAAGCGGCGCCCGACTCGGGAGAATTTTCTCCCGGCCTCGCAAAGTACTTAAAGTGGAGTGAAACGAGAAATCGAAGCTCGCTGGGCGAACGTTCGCAACTTCGGCTCGTAGCCCAAGGAGCTTTGACGAGAATCCGCGACCAGAGGGGTATACGGATCTCAGAGTTTTAATGAAACGTGTACACCTTCCTTGGCAGTCCCGTCCAAGCGAACTTCCTCGTTCGAGCAAACAGACGACACGGAGCGACCGTTCGAGAGAACGGAGTGTTCAGAATTTCTCCCAGAAAGTGACGTTTCGCGAATGTGAAGCTCGTGCGGTGGCATGGCACTACGTGAAGCTGCGTAGCGCATTCTTAGGACTACCTTTACCGGCCTTGCTGCACTACTCATCTACTTACGGTAAGAAGACATCGGATTCACTTTGAGGCAGGACCAACCTCGGCAGAACGATGGCCTTGTTCCTCCTGGTTCTGAGGGTCTGGGCAGTCAGCTGCTGAAAGTCTGGGGCCTGTATCGGCGAGTGGGGGCTCAGGATGGTGATTTTCCTGTCGCTGCCTCCAGGACTGGTGAGGGAGAAAATCCCCGTGGCAGGTGGCAGGCTCAGATGTTGAGGCAGCTTTCTCTCGAGGCCGGTGTTGGCGAACAGGCCGCGTCTGATCTCGGCGTTCAGGCTCTCCTCGCGATGCAAATTTTCGCTGCTACGACTGGATTCCAAGGTGACGATCCGCCGCACGTCGTTCCTGGACGCGGTCAAGAAACTCCGATAATGGGTCTTGGAGGCAGCGTGCGTCTCCGAGGAGGACGACAGCGATTCCAGGGATTTGGAGTCCTCGCTGTGGCGGTCGTCGGCGCTCAGGTAGTTTCTGGTGGTGCGCAGCGACTCCATGGACCTGGTGGTCACCTGGCTGGTGCTCGCGGCGAGGAGGTGCTTCCTGGGGATGCTCTTCACCTCGGGTTCGTACTCCTCCTGGCTCGAGCTGGACTGGGGACTCCTGTTGCTGGACATGAAGAGGCCGACTCTCGTCCCCGTCTTCGTGCGAGTCTCCTCGATGGTCCCGGAACTCCCGTAGACGTGGATCTTGGTGACGGTTCTGTGTTTTCTCGTTGACTCGAGGGCATCCCCCGTTGCCGAGTGCACCTCCAGAGTGGCGACCGACGTCTCCGGGGCCGGAAGATCGACGCTGCTCCCGCTGCTTCCCAGAGCCGACAACCTGTCTCCAGGGTCCTCTACGATCGAGGAGGCTGGGTCCTCGTCCTTCGGGATGTTTTCCACCTCGTTATCCGAGGCGCATTCCACGGTGTCCGATTCGCCGGCGGAATTGCGACGAATGCTCTCACTCTCGATCAGCCGCTTCGACGCGGTTTTCTTGACGAACTTGTTGACCAGGGTCACCGTCTCGCGGACGTCCTCCGTATCCTCGTCGTCCATCTCGTCGAGCGTGGAATCGGACGGAGTGATTTGATTTTGTAACTTTTAATCGGGTGAAATGGCTCTCCCCGAGGAACGGAGCACAAGGGTTGCAGGAGACCGGATCTTGGCGGCGGGGGTGAAGGGATCGTCAGAAAATCATTTGTAGGCCTTCCACCCTGCGGAGGCGCGCTCTCATGGACACCCCCGGCCCATGGGAGTACTTCGAGATAAGGATTCACCGGGACTCGAGACCGCCTTCAGAAACGAGGATGGTTATCCTCGATCACCCCGGGTCCTCTGGCATATACCTCCATCAGGGATATGGGTTCTTCGCCGGACGATTTCGCTCTTCTTTCGGCATTTTAATCCTCGCAGGTCTCCCGTTCCTCCGGCTCGACGAATCCTCTTAATTCGGCTGTAAAGTTCATCGAGTCGCTCCAGAAATGCGCTTTTCCGAACCGCTTTCAACGCTTAGAGTCACCTCACCGGGGAATCGATATCTAATTTAAGAGTACGTCATCTTCCGAAAGGAAATTTAAATCGGGCCATAAAGTTAAGCCCAATATTGGAATGTTTCAGATAGGACCATTTTAAATCTCAGTGCCTTATCAGGAATTCACGGGTCAATTCAGCGGTAAATCAAGGCGTTATTATAGCGATGTTCTATCCTGGGTGTGTTCTCCCGCCACCGTGCACTGATCTACCCACGGCTGCGCGGACGTTTTTAATAAAAAAGAAACCTTCGCAGAAATCAATTTCCCTCGCACGCCTCGTTGGAGATTCCCCTCCCTCATTCGTGAAGTTTTAATAAAATCTAAAAAAAAAAAAAAAGGAGCCGAGGGATCGGTTCATCCGCGACAAATAAACTCGGTGATAAGTCCAACACTCGTACGAGAGTCGAGTCGTCGTAAAGACACGGATTTACGATCCGATAAACATCGTGATTAATGACGAATGACGACGGAGATTACCGCTTCATTGGGTAATGGCCGATCTGCCGAACCTACTCCTTGCGTGCGCTTTATCGAGCCGGGGCGTTTAATTTCCAAGTGAGTTTAAAGCTCCGCGAGTACCTCTCTTCCCTCTCCGTTTAAATCGAAGCAAATGCTTCCTTCCGAAGACTCTCGGCAGGTATCGCCGAAAGAAATCTTGAAATTCGACAATGGCCAGATCTTTCAGCGGGTTGCGTGAAATTTCGAGACTCCGCCGGTCATCCGGCAGTGCCGGGAACCGAGGTCCGAATGACGGGTTCGCGTGGCAAGAACGAATTTACCTCGGGAATCGTATCTTTTGATTGGCCATCGGCTTCGAGGCAGATCTCGATCGCCGACAGACTCGGCGATTTACTCGTATCGCGAGCTTTTATCGCGAGCGGGACCGATGAGATCCGGCAAGGTAATTCGCTTCGCGCGGGATGAAAGCCCCCGGAGCTTAGCCTATTATTACCGTAATCAACTTTTCAGGATGGAACCTTCCGTGGCTCATCTCTCCTCCGAGTACCCAACTAAACCGAGCTCCGCCTCGTGCTATGAAACGACCATTCTTCCGTGCTACTTATTTACCGCCCGGAGAATCGGGAACCTTTTCGCTATCTCCGCAACCGAGCCCTGGAGTTTCGACCATGAAAATTGATTCGAACGTCTAAAACTCGCCCGCGACGTTTTTCCATTCCAAGATTAGCCCTGGGACGACCGAATTTGGCAAAGTCGGGGCAATGATAAAGTTTCGCGAAAAAGTTTCCTGCGACGCGATTTAACGGGCGAATCTAAAGGGCGCGTCCGGGTGTCTCCAGGGGATGCGGAAAATATTTTTTCGTTTCTCCCGGAGAGGCCATTAAGAGGATTTAAAGCTAGAGAGTCGTGAATTCGAGTTCAAGAACGGCGCGGGTTTAATTCCAAGTTTTTTCCCGTCCTTCGATCCCTCGGAACTTGGTATAATCGTGCGTCAAAGTTTCTCTCTCTCTCTCGAGGTTAGCATTCATTTTCATCGTTCCTCGGCGTTGAACCGATATTCCGCAAAGCGAGCCGTTCCACGGAACTCGGAGTATCGCGGGTCCCTTAGGTGCAGAAATGGAAACCGAAGTAAGCCACTGCCTCGGAGGTTGAAAGTTGATTTACCGATGCATTAAAGGGGTCGAGGATGCACGAACGTTAAGCCCGTTAGGAATAACGCCCCCGGGTTTAAGAAAGCGCCCAGCTTTGTTCGGAGGTTGGTGTGCTCGCGATGTTCCCGAGGCTTCTAAACTTAGACCTTCTAGAGTTGCAGACCAAAGGGGCGGCTCCCTTGCAACGATGATTTCGCAGCTGCTGGGTGTCGTCCGCACGGTTTTCCGAGAGTTCGAAGCCACTCCTGGTCTTGCTCGATCAAACGCTGCGAAATTTCCGCAACGAGCGTCCCGTGGCCGAGCACGGATGGCTGAGCCGCCATGCTCTAATTTAATCTGGTAAAAATTCAAGCGCAGGAGGGAATTGTTCCACCTCGTCTGAAAATGGACGTCAAGCTCGAACGGCTCGCAGGCGGACTCCAAATCGGAGCTTGGCCTATATTTTAAATAGAAACAGCGCGGGGGATAGGGATGTTTCGTCTTTTTTTTTTTTTTCGATACTCTCGATTATATATCAAATGCTCGGTCGGCTGGTTACACGTTCGAGACGTTTCGGGTCGGTGTCTCGCGGCTTCTGAATCCGCCGACACGTCGGGGTAAAAAAGATACGTCGCTGGTCTAATTTTAGTCGAAAAGCATCGTCGGCCGATGAGTGGCCCCGCTTAACGGTATTGTTGTTGGCTGCTGACACGAAAATCGAGCAAAGTGGTCGAGTTAAGTTCCCTTCGCGTGACATCGACAACGAGCGGTACCCGTGCAATTGAAAATGCCCAAACGAGGGTTTTACGTGATCGCGGCTCGCTCTAGGCACTCTAATCCCGAAACGACCGGAATTCCGCGTTCGAATCCCGGAGAGAAAAGCGGGAAAAGAGTTATCCGCGCTTCCGCGGTCCTTCCGCAACGGAGCTCTCGTAAAGGTCAAGAGGCCCCGCGCGGAATCCACGGAAAAGGATTCACATATGCTCGCGACTTTTAATACCGGCGAAGAGGTTCCCGGTCGCGGCGATCCGTCTCCTCCGTAAAATGTGTCTCCGACTCCCCGACGGAAAAAACGTCCACGCGGCGTCGTGGCGGAGGACAAACGCAGGCATTTCGCGCTTTATAGCAGTCGACGTCGCGTTGCTTTTGAAATTAGCGAATCGAGCGAGAGGGCGTCGCGGAACGGTGCCAAGATTCCTTGCCAAGTTGCCAACGGAAACTTTAACCGCTTAAAGGGGTCCTCTCGCCGGACGTCTTTTGGCGCAACGATGACCTTTGCCAGCAGATCCAATTCCGAATTCCGACGAGCTGCCTACGTGCACGCGTACGCAAACTAATCAGTCCCCCCAAAGGACCACTTGCAAATTGAGCAAACATAATCACGAGGGCATACCGACTTTTCTACCGACGGCCTTCAAGGACCCCAAACCGTGCTCCAAGTAAAGAGGAGGTTCTTCGCAAGGACGAGCAATCGACGGAATGCGAGACTACTTTCATCCACTGGAGGGGAACCTCCGACGTCAATGTGATATCTTCTATCGAGACCGGCAACAAAATCCAGTATCGGAAACCCGTTTTTATCGTTATCGCGATTACGGATCGAGACCAAGCATGAAAATCAAACCGGGTCTAATAAACTCGGCATGAATCAATTCGGAAGAGTTTGATGAACAGAGACGAATAGAATTTGCGTTGTTTCGGTAAATTAACCATTTTTTTTGTTTTAATCAATATAACGAAAATGTTTCTGGATAAATATTTTTCTGGCCCATTTTCGAGCGTTCGCGTTTGTCGAAGCAAGCTTTTTATGACTGTGAATTTTTTTCCGTGTGTAAGCCTTGGCGTTCGGGTAAGGCTATCGATTCGTCCCTCCGACTTCGACAACTTTTCCGAAGGGTTTTGGCCGTTTCCCTGCGGCGGTATCATCGCTCTTCTTGCCTTAGTCGGTGGTATCGTCGTCGTGGTTCGATCGATGGCAAAGCCGAACTCCTGGGGGCCTCGAGTTCCGTCAGTTTCCGTGCCGTACGGTAAGGGGGAACGCGAGTGCATGAATATCCACGGACTATTAACCTTGTTCCTTCTCGGTGAAATGGATGGATTGTCCCTTTCCGTTGCGGCTGCCTTGCGGGGACAGCATTCACTGTCGTCGCTCCGACTCTCTATCGGCAAACTCTCGCGGCATCGGATTTCGAACTAAAAAAGCGACCGACGACATTCCACCCCGTGCTTAAGTAAAATTCTAGATGGACCTCGAAGGCTGACTCGGAAATCGGCGAAAACGATTTTCCTTTATTTTGAACATTTTAAAATCGACGATTTCTTGCTGGCGGGCCTCCGTGACAAACGCCCCATCGAGGTGTTTCGGGTAATCTGGTTTCTCGCATTAGTCGCCAGACAATTCGGTAGCTCCATCGATTAGCGTAAAACCCTCCGGGATGGCGGAATTAAGCCGTCGGTAGGGCGGCTTATGATTGGCTTTCCAGCAATGGGTATACACGGATTACTTCAGGATTTGGCGCCCAACGGCTCCAGGATTTTCCAAAGCGGTAGGGAACGTGGCACGGCGTAAGAGTTCCTCCGCGGAAAGCGAAGTTTCCGGCAGCGAAAATCTTTCAGAATTTCTCCAGGGGCGACGGCGCGATTTCCCTCGAAATGGCACTGCAAAATGACTCGACGGCCGCACACGCTGCAAACGCCTGACTTTGACGACCCGCGACTCCTACCCGAACAACCACTTCCTCGAAAATCCTCGTAAAATCCCTGATGAACCGTACCTGCGAAACCGTTCACGCGGGTACAGGTTTATCCCGAGGCCGTAAGTACGGCGTCCAGTTTATTTATCGGAGGAGATTAATTAAACCGTCATTGTCGCATGGACGAGGTTCTGCGCGAAAGGGGCAGAAAATGCAAATGAAAGCGGTCCACGTTGTGCGCCACGGCGGGCGCATGCTCGTGATTTACGTCACGCGAACCCAACATGGCTTTGTTTATGGGCGGGATAATTAATTAACCGAGCATAACGTAATTTCGTTGTACGGTTCGATCGTTGTTCACCGGTCACCCCCGATGCTCGGTAGCTGGGTCTTCGGACCTAAAGGGGCTCCACCCTGTATGATGGTTTCAAAAGCGCGTCTTTGGCCTCCAGGTCACATCATTTACGGTCATACTTCTCGTAACCGAACTTTCCCCGGAATCGTACGTTTCAACTCCCCCGAGACCCCCGACAACTTTCGGGAAAGTTTCGCTCAATCCAGGTAAGTGCAACGACGAGCCATCGTTACCTCGCCAGCAATCGATTACGGGTACTTTCAACGGCACTAACGAATCTGGAC